GCTGGTGAGGATGCACACAGTTTGAGGCATAAATTCCCTCCTTTCCCAATCACCATTGATTTCATATTCCAGAAAAACTCCAGGTGCTTGATTTGTATGAATTTTAGTGACAGTGAGAAATGAAAGAAACTGTAGTTAACATTCAAGAGGCATAATGTAAACGTTCCCAATGACAAGTTCCCTGACTTGTTTCCTATTACTGTATTTAAATCTCCTATAAACTCAAAGATCTTTCTGCAGTGTATGACAACAAATATTTGTTGGTCAACAGCTGACCCCTGCTGGTGTGAAAAATAAAAATAAAATTTAAAAAAAAAATTTAAAAACCCAATAAATACTAATAAAAACCACATCCTATTTATTATTTTTCCAGCCTCCTTTGTGCATATTTGCCTTTGGTTTGTACTTCATTTTGATTAATCACATAACTCTATCAGGACTGCATCTCTTCAGCCTGTTTGCAAAAAAAAAGGATGTTGTTGTTTCTTATACTTCCATCCATCAACCACATGCTATTCATTTATCTATAACATAGTCTCATGTCTGCCCCATGTGTCCAAAAATTTTCCTTTGATCATTTGCAAACAAGTTCCTGGAGATTTCTTGTTTCATTGTCTGTTTATTTAGAATAAGTGATTATAGCAGCAGATTCTCTTTTCTGTGCTTCTGCACAATTCAGATTTTTATCAGTAATGCCATCATTGCTAGTATGCTTCTTCTCCTGTTTTCTCCTACTCGTTTGACTTTCCCTTAACTTGAACCAAAAACTAACTTTTACAACAGCTCACAAAAAAATTATGTTATTTTTCCTGCATACCCACTATCTACCTTTATACACAATCCCTTAATTTTGTCAGGAACAGTCCACCTATTTTTCAGCTGGTATTATCATCAGAGTTCTATGCAGCTGTACTGTCTTCTCTGGGCAATTCACTCAGTAACCCTGATCCTCTCACCAGCAAAATGGGAATGTAGGGAAAAGGGTTAAATGAGGCATTCACATCAATAGACTGGTAAGGCTACTTTCTCATGTTTCTTTATTGAACCGTACCATGTCAGTCTAACAATTCAGATCAGAAGTACATCTGAAATCACAAAACCACATTTTACTTTTAATTTACACAGAATTTACAAACCACATTTTTAAATATACCTGGTGTTTCACACATTTCTACAAATCATGCCTTCAGTTACTTGTGTTGCTCCTTGAACATTATGACTCTCAGATAGCCAGGAACAAACTGTCTTGTATGCATATTTAACTAAATTGTCCAAGATAGATATTTCTAATGTAAGCCCACTGGAGCTGTGCAACAGTGTGCTGTCATCTCTTTGGGTGGGAGTTCTACATTCAGCATTCAGCTACTGGGAAAATTCTGCCTGCAGCTTTCTCCCAACCCTCCTCCCACTGGTCAGCAGCTTCTGTGACAGTTCAGCTCTTGTCCCTAAAAGAGAACAAAAATTTTTAAACACCCATATTTTCCTGAAATAACTGCTAAAAATCTTGTCACTTTGGATTACATTTTATCTTGCCTTCCAGCTCCTTGTAAAGTTTAAAAGTGTGCATTCCTTACAGGAAACTTTGTTCACCTGATAATACTTTCCAGAATTTTAATTTCTTCCTTTTCATTTCTTCTTTCCGTTTCATTTAAGTGTTGCTGTGTTAGTCTCCAGCAACATTTTCGCCTTAGGGAGCTTCACCTTAATCACATTCTGGTTGTATTAACTCTGTGTCTTAAATAGAAATGTTTTTTTCAGTCTTCTCCTCTTGCACACAGAGCTGTCTCAGTACATACATTGCATGGTGTAGCCTTTTCTAGAGTCAAAATATGATTTTTCTATGTTTTTTTCAAGAAAAAAACTAACATCTAGAGAAAGTTTTATTGAGACCATCTCTCTGGAATAAAAGTCCTTCCATAGCCTTTAAACTATGTGCTAAAAATAAAAACAAAAATGAAACAAAAAAATAAATAATGTCATCTTTACATTTCTAGTGTGTGCTTAATACTTGTCATTCTGTGGAAAAGTTTTCCGTACTTAGATACACGCAAATATAAAACTGGAGCTGGTTGAGGCTTTTTTGGTTGGTTGATTTGCTTTGTTTGTGTTTGTTTTGTGGTTTGGTTGGTTATTTATTTGTATTGACTCTAATTTCAAACATTCATATTAAGGTCATGAGGCCTTGTGGAATATATTTCAAGAAACAGCTTGTCATTAATTTGATTTTGTTGTGGCCTGATGACCTCCACAGCCTTACTAAGGCTTGCAAGCAGGGCTGAAGTGGGGTCCAAGAGCCTGTATAAAGGAGAACACATGGAAAGCACTTTAGTTTAATGTATAGATGGCTGAATATGTATATGTTTTCTGAGAGACAAAGTTTATTGTTGTAGCACTGAAGTGAAACCTTCATTTAGAAGGAGCAGCACTGAAAGATTTAAAACCTGGTACTTACAAAAATTCATTCCCTTCTTCATGTCCTTCTATTTGATCTTTTTAAGTTAAATAGTTAAAAGAGTAATTAATAGTAACATATTGACACAGATATTTTTCTTAATAGTTCAACTTTGACTACATATTTTCTGCCTTGTTCAATGTATAGGATTCCTCATTTATGCATGATTTTTATGGAAAAAAGAATATTATAAAAAGGCTAAAGTTTACCATGTAGTTAAAGCACTAGAAAGGAATTATTTCAGATTTAATATTACTGGTGCTACAGGTTTTCTCTGTAACCTTGAGTAAATCACTTAATCTCTCTGTACCTCTGCTCTTCATTTATTTCTTAAAGGATGGTAACATTTCTTCTGTCTCTCTATTTACATTGCAAATTCCTTTTACTCTATGTTTCATATTATTCTTGTTGCAATAAAGATCTTATCTAGGAATTCTTATTATAGAGTTGGTTTTATCTACATAAAAAGCAATACATTCTGTATGATTAGTTATCCTGCATGATAGGTTATCCTGAGCTGTGACCTGGCTGCAAAAGGAGTTATTATTATTGCACCGGAAGTGTTTTAGAGACCAAGTCAGACTCAGAACTTCAGCATTGTATAGCTCTTTTATCAAGAGATGGTGATTTGAAATTAGAAAGCTTTCTCTATAGCAGTAAAATAAATGTGCTTCAGAAAGGATCTTCAACCACTCTTGAAGAAAACCAGTTTGGAATGTCCTGCATCTGCACCTTTAAACCCAGCCAGCACTGGGGCAGGCAGGCTACATGAGTACTGCCTACTGGGAAGGGTTTCCAGCTTGTATTATCTCCCTGAATGTATCCTGGATTTTTAAGAGAGATTTTTGGGCCAAAAATTTAATATCATGGGTAGAAATGGAAAAAGATGTTTCCAGAAATGGAAAGAAATGTTTTCAGGCTGTATTTAGCAGTGGCCGATCAAATATTGCACTCCCATCAAAAATTCTGCCTCTGTACATATTTTCAGGCTTATAATATATCCCAGTCTTGCTTTATGTAAATCCTAAGGCTGGAAAATAAGGAAATGCAGTGCAGAAGAAGCTTTGCTGTAGTAAAACCTAAGAAACTTGACATCAAAAGTTGTTCATAATAAGTCCAGACAAAATTTGGAAAAAAATTATTTGTTCAAACTGCTTCATGATACAATAAATATTCCCTGATAAAGAGAATGAGACTTTGAATACATATTTCAGGTTATTACAATTTATATTTATTATTTTTTGTACTATTAGGTGATGAAAGCATTATTTTAGGTAGGTAAGTAAATGGTGTGGCTTTACCCCTCCTGAATCAGTGAAATGATTGAAACTTAATTCTCCTGCTTATCTACAAGAAAGCTCAGAACTGGTACAGAATAAAAAAACATGTAATCTTTGACTATGCTCTGAAAGGAGGAGCTTATCTTTCCTCTCAGTTCATGTAAGAACATATTAGGATCCCAGGTCTGAGTCTCCTAAAGACATCTGCACAGATCACACATGTAATCCAGTCCAGAACATAAATGTAATATTTGAGGAAGAATCAAACTAAAGACCATTTTACTCAGCACTTCTTTCTGCCTTGGCTGGGAACCTCCTGATTAAATCCTCTTGGCATAAGGTCACGTCTTTTTACTCCAGACTGCCTCTATGACTATAGTATTTGAAGCAATGATCAACTATGGGATTTAGATGGTCTCTGAAGCCCATCAGAAAAAGAAATTAAAATATATGTTTGGTATTGCTAAAAGCTAGAGATATAGACAGATTTATTTCAAAGGTGATGGTTTGTGTCCCAGCAGGTCTTGAGGTGACAATCAAGGCTGGTGTCATGCAGGTGAGGAGCTTAAATGGCTCTCCACAGAACAGACCATGATGTCCAGCACAGACACAGCTGATAGAATACACTGATGCCAAATAAACATTATTGTGCCCACTCCAGCTACCTGCTTCTTAGTTCTGCCATAGTTGACTTGCTGGCATGAATCATGACATCTTTTTTGGATTTCTCTCCAGAATACACTCTAATAATCATAGAGACAGAGTAAACATGCCTCCATAAACTGTACACAGGACCTGCAAGCCTAACTCCTCATTACTGCAGCTTCACTTGACATCAGGGAATTTAAATCTCTCTTCAAATCTAACTCACTCTGACTCCAAAAGGCTTAAAATCTAAACATATTTACCTAACAAGATATCCTATTACAACATGAGCTTCTACAGTAAAGACCTACATTGTGGCTATCCAACAGCCCTACTAATAGTAGATACAGATGAACTATCATTCCTAGAATTATCATCCTACCCCAAATATATTGCCATGTGGGACTGAAAAATGGTAGCAAATAAAAAATAAAATAAATTTAAAAAATTAACTACCTATTTTACAGTTTTGCAAAGATTTTGCAAGTGTGGCTTAATCAGCTGCAACACCTGATTAAACACTGCCTTGCAGTGTTTAATAATACTATACTATAGTATAGTATTATTACAGTAGTTAATACTATACTTTCTGATGAGTGTTTTATGTGCTCTTGTCTCTGCAGACTGAAGAAGTCCTGAAGATTGATGGAGGGCCATGCTATTCAAACAGCAGGCGTTGCTGAGACAGAAGCTCTTTGTGCTAGGCAGCCTTGCTATTGGAAGTCTCCTATATCTAGTTGCCAGAGTTGGGAGTTTGGATAGGTAAGTCATTAAGTAGCTGCTCTCTTACATAGAATGGCTTAAGATTGTCTGAGTTTCTGCTTCAAGGGTCTGATTGCTTTCATGCTCTGGTTTTTGGTTTGCTTTTTTTTTTTTTCTTAGACTCTACTTGTACGGGAGGACAGTAACACTGGCTATTTTAATGTGGTATTCATTATTTGTTCCTACCCTTTGGAGAAGAGAGTAAAAAAATAGTCACAGTCATCCCTGTCAAAGTTTTTCTGTTTGTCCATTTGTATTCTGAACACACTGACACTTGTTTTCAGAGAAGAAATAAACTAGCATCCAGTAAAAATGTCATTACAGTAGCTCATTTTGCCTGTGTACATCTGTGTATTGACCTCTAGTTTCAGCAAAACAGTTATGATGTATTTATACATCTCCTTTTCTAAATTTGTGAGCAAGCAATTAATGTGCTACAGTGGTAGTTAAAATTAAGTATGAGCCTGCAGAGCAGCTCGTCAAATTTTGAATACTATTTCATTTGAAAGATTGCTTCAGGGTTTGAGAATTTTAACTATGTTAATTAGCTGGCATTTTCTGTAGCTGAATGTGCTAAATAAGTGGGTTTTCTCTGCAAATGATTTCCTTGAGAGTAGTAGAAAGTACAGCAGAGAAAATCAAAGGCTGTTCAGCACTTCTGACCAGGCTGAGTTTTGACTGGTTTTTGACAGTGCAACAGTAGTGCTACCTGCACTGACACTGCTGTTCCTGTCAGCTTTGAAATGGCCTGGGATTGCTGTGGTAGGTGCTACACGAAGTCACAACACATTCAAAACAAACAAACAAACAAACACAACAAAGAAAAGAAAATAAAGAAAGCTGTTTAGAAGTCATTAATGAAAAAAAGCCTACAAGATTTCCAGAAGCAGGTAGGCAGTTTGCAAGTGTTAATGCTATATTCTTGTCCTTCTTTTAAATGATGCAAAGTATTAGTTTGTTTCAAAATTATCACACAATGCCGTGTGAATATGCAGTGCTTGGAAAGCAAAAACAGCTACCTACTCTCCATTGCTAGATAACAGTGGGCTCCATTGGTGGTCACTGGGTGCCTTCTTCCACTCTTCAAATTCTCTCCAAAAGAAGGAGACCATGTACTCAGCTAGGACCAAATGTATTGCTCATTAAGCCCTGGAATGTATATCTTCTTTCCCCTGATGGTCAAACCGTCTCTGATGCTTCAGAAGTGGAAACTTCACTGAGACTAATGTGATTCAGTAAATGGAGGCAGAAATCCTTACTGGTCCCTGCAAAAGTATATTTTATGCTCAGAGGCATGAAGTCTAATTAACCTTCTCCTATTATCTATGCTTGCACATCTATAGAATTTACTGATGGCTATAAAATTATCTTGCCACAGTATTTGACTCGCTGACCTCCTGCAGCAATGAATTCCGCTGGCTTCATACATAGTGTTGCCAATGGCAGTAAAATTCAGTTTTGTTCTCTTGCTTTACCCAGTGTGAAGCATACCACACTGCTAAAAAGCAGTCCTGTGTATGGATTTGTTATGAAATAGAGAGAGAAAGAAGTACCAGAAAGGACAAGACACAGATGAATTAACTAGAGATATTCCTCTTCCTCATCATTGTTGAATCTCTCAGTAAAAGGATGCTAAGTGGCTTCAACAGACTTTGAAATAACTAATTGTTCAGGAAGAAATCCAGATTCATTTATGCTTAATTTATGCTGATCTAATTTGAACAAGCAAGCTGGGGGTGGCTCATGTTTAATAGCCTCATATTAGGCTCTCCAATGGCAGTGTCTTGAGTTTCCTTAGGCCCAAAGGGAAATTACCACTAGTTTATGTGATTCATTGAGTCATAAAATCTGATAAGATGAGCACTTCCCTCCAGGGGAGGCCACCTTCCTTCAGCTCCTGAGTGCATGGATCTGCTTCATATGTGGAAGCTCAGATAGATTCTGTGGCAATTTTGAGCATATCTGGATTAGTCTTTGAGTTACCTGACTCCCTGATTGGCAGTACCAGGAGCCTCCACATCTGATTTCCATGCTACAAAATACTCCTGCTGGAACCAAGTTTATAATCTTTTGTTGCTGTGACACCTCCATTGGAAGAAAATTAGCAAGTATTCTGGGTCAGGTGAGATAGCTCATTAAAATTGCTCAGACTTACTTCAGCTGTTTTGAAACTTTTCAAAAATACAGCTCCTGGAGATTACTTGGCTTATGGTGGGATCTCTCAAGAAGAATAATTGTAAAGTTTTACTGTAGCAGCTTGAGAAATTACCTGTTTTAGGAGAGCAACTCAATGATATAATAAATGTCATATAGTCTTTCTTAGCAAATAACTGTTATTTAAAGGGAAAATTACTCAGACAATTAAGAATATTAACATGTTGCAATGTACGAGTAAATAGTTACATCATGGATTAAACTGTGAGGATCTGCTCTTTACTTACCACAGCGAAGATCTTTTAAAACAACTTTTTTGTTGTTTAGAGAGAGAAGAATCAGGGGAAAAGAGTAAAAAGACCTGAAATATAAAGGCTGAGAAAGGACTTCTAAAAACATCCAGTCTTTTCCCTTAGGCTAGAGGATATCTTGTGTATTTATTTATTTTCAAAGGAAACCACCCTGTTTGACAAGCTGTTGTGTTACACTGAAGACAGTGCTAGCTGTCTTTTTGAGCAAGAGATAAAATTAGTTGAGATGGGTCTGGAACTGCTGTTGTGGAATCCTCTTTGCTTGAAAACAAATAACAAATGCACAGAAGGAGTGGGATGAGAACAGAGACAGCAATTGCAGCTTCTCTTTCTTATGTTTTTAACTGCCACCTTGCTGATGCATTAAGGCTCTCACCGGCTGCACCACAGTCTGACCAAATTGTAGCATTGTTAATTTATTTTTTTTTCCCCAACATGGACAGGTTTACATCAGTATTTCAATGATTCAGTCTTTGCCACCAAGGCAAGCTTTTTCAGTAGATGGCAGAGAGGAAAGGGACAGAGAAGGTAGACACTTGAGAAAAGAAATAACAGGAACTCACTTTTTATCACACTTTCTAATTAGTTTGTAGGACTTATCTAGAGCCCATGTGAACCCAGAAATGTCATATGGATTGTTTCTTTGGCTCTGTCTGGACAGGCTATGTCTCTCAGTATCTGGATAATCAAGGAAGCAGCTAACAGGTCAGCCACGGGGATCAAACTTATTTTGTCCCAGCCATCCATTGTCCTAGAATCAGTGTCAAATTAGAGACCCCAACAAGCAGTGATGGATGTAAAACCCACAAAGAAATAAATAATTATGTCCTGAAAGCAGGGTTTGAATAACGTATAGTAAATGAGTGAGGGACCACATGCTGAGAAACTAAAATAAATACTGAATACCTAAACAGCTATTAATGAGCATTGCCCATCTGGCATACTGGCTAAGGCAGGGGTCCTGTGAAAAATAATAGCATTCAGCTGGGTAATTTAAGAACTGTATCATAATATATGTGCACAGCAAGCTCACACTAAAATTGTCTAAACAACTTTTGTTCTTACATATCCTTAATTTTGGAGAACATGGCTCCAAAAATTAGTAATAATATTTTTTGTTGGATCTTGGAAACTCTCTGTGCACATCAAGTTAATCTTCAGTGACACATTGTCTTGTATAATGTCAAAAGTGCTGATTTGAGAGTGGAGAGAAGAGTTTATTCAAGGTTCTGTAGAAGTAAAATTTTAACATTTTTCTTACTGAACCACTTCTTGGATCCAGTGGTATCCAATACAAGAACAAAGAATTAGAAAGTAGAAAAGAGGGCAAATAATTGTAGCTGAAGATAAAAGGATAGTGCAAAAATGCAGTCGCAAAAGAAGAAATAATACAACAAAAAATAAGTGGGAGGAGTCCCTTCAGTGGGAGGATACAGGACTGATTATAAAAAAATCATTGATGTAATAATGCAATAAAATTATTTTTTTAAAACTCTTCTTGCCAGTCTTTTTGTACCTTGCTAATCTTATCTGAATCAGAACCTTGAACATTCTGGTTCTGACTGGCAGAGAAATACTGGAAATATTGTAAAGAGGAGAAATGTTGAAAGGTGATGCTTAGAAATCTGCTTTTCATCCCTTTCCCTTCTCTTCACTGAAAAAGCTGTGTCTGGATCAACACAATGGAAAGACTTCAGGCTAGAATGAGAAAAGTGTGGGAAAGATATTACTTAAATCAACTAGATTTTCAGATCAAAATGTCCAAATATAATTCGTCTTAGAATGCCTTAAAAACTGCCAAACCCATCACAAAATGGGAGGAATGTGGACGTTTAGGCAAGGTTCAAGAAGACCCAAGAAGAGTATTCATAGTTCCTATGCTGGCAAAGGGCAGACTGGACAAGTTAGTAATTTCCCAGCTAAAAAAATAATTGCAAATTATTTAACTACTGGCAGAATAAAATAAGAGTTGAAAGATGGGCACATCACATTACATTTGAATATGTTCCTAAAAGCATGATTCCCTTGTACATAAAACTTGTCTTAAGAAATGTCCTCTTTTTACAAGTACCTCTTATTTTGCTTGCAGACTGCAGCCCCTCTGCCCCATTGATGGTCGTTTTGGACCCCGTGGTCAGGACGAAATCCCATTGCGAGCCCTGCAGTTCAAGCGAGGTCTGCTCCATGAATTTCGAAAGGGCAATGCCACCAAGGAACAAATTCGACTGCACAATCTCGTTCAGCAGCTTCCCAAGGCCATTATCATTGGGGTGCGGAAAGGAGGCACCCGAGCACTATTGGAGATGCTGAACCTTCACCCTGCAGTGGTCAAAGCTTCTCAAGAGATTCACTTCTTTGACAATGATGAAAACTATGCCAAGGGAATTGAGTGGTACCGGAAAAAAATGCCTTTTTCTTATCCTCATCAAATAACAATTGAGAAAAGCCCCGCGTATTTTATCACCGAGGAAGTACCTGAAAGGATTTACAAAATGAACTCATCTATCAAATTATTGATCATTGTCAGGGAACCTACCACAAGAGCTATTTCTGATTACACTCAGGTGCTGGAAGGCAAGGAAAGAAAGAACAAAACTTATTATAAATTTGAGAAGCTGGCAATTGATCCTAATACCTGCGAAGTGAACACTAAGTACAAGGCAGTGAGAACCAGCATCTACACAAAACATCTGGAGAGGTGGTTAAAATACTTCCCAATCGAGCAGTTTCATATTGTGGATGGAGACCGGCTCATCACAGAACCACTGCCAGAACTCCAGCTGGTTGAGAAGTTCCTAAATCTTCCTCCGAGGATAAGTCAATACAATTTATACTTCAATGCCACCAGAGGGTTTTACTGCTTGCAATTTAACATTGTCTTTAACAAGTGCCTGGCAGGTAGCAAGGGACGCATCCATCCAGAAGTGGACACCTCTGTCATTACCAAATTGCGCAAGTTCTTCCATCCTTTTAATCAAAAATTTTACCAGATCACGGGGAGGACATTTAACTGGCCCTAAACTAAACTTCATACAACACTTTCTGTTGCACCTGAGGCATGCAATAGGATGTCTCTGCTGAAATATGCACTTTTCATAGATATGATTAGCAAAGTAACTTTTTTCATGCATACGTGTACATAATGCAGTGTGTGACCAAATATACGGTGGGATCGAATTTTTCTACAGAGTAGTAACTAACATAAATTTACTGTCAATATAGTTGCATCTTTTAAGATATAATAATAAAGGGAAAGGAAGTATTTAGGGAAACAAAGTCAGACACTGTTAAAGGGTCAGTGTTCCTCTTGCTTAGTGGTGTTTATGTGACATACTTATTGATCTAAGCAGAACATTAGTTTATGCCATAAAAATTCATGTCAAAAGTTTGTAAAGCTGTGAGAAAGCATAATCTTGAGGCTATATTTGGTATATGTATTGCTAAAGGAATACTGGCACTTTAAGCACAGTGCTGAATTTTTACAATGAGAGTGAATAGTACTATTTTCTTATTATTTTAAATGACTATCTTATCTCATACAAACTACATTGTTTTAGAGTTCCTGTGGTGAGTTTGCACTATTGTTTTATTGTATGGACCATAGTGTCACTTGTAGCATGTCAATCATGTGTCAAGAAAAGGTCAAATAATTTTTTCTTCTATACTTGTGTGTCGACAAAGCTAAACATGTACATAGTGTACAATGTTTGTAAATACTGGTTTCACACTAAGTAATTCTATTTTGTAAGCTGAATATGGCTATTTAATTTATTGTGAAAATTAAATTTATTGTGGTATTTAAAAATGGAATGGATTAAAATTACCTATATGTGCAATGGCTTTTCACCTTTGCTTGATGTATGTCTGTGTGGTCCCTTAGCTTAGACAGGTCATAAGTACGTATGAGAGAGATTTGCTCAGGTAAGCTTGGTATATAGACAGTTGGGAAAAGTGGCAAGGCAGGGTTTATTAAAAAGCTCATCCTTCTAGGAATCTGGTGTAATGCACACTTCAAAGAATGTTGTTGCTGTTTGTTGTGGCACTTTGCAAAAATTAATGCAGTTACTCGTGACGTTAAAGCATGACTGGAAAAACGTACTGTAACCAGATATATCAAAAAATCAGAGTCCTCATTAAAACCAAAAAACCAGACAGATGAATAAAATCAGAAGAAAGGTTTTGGTGATTTCATTACCAAAAGGTGGTGATGCTTCAGAAGTCATAGAAAACCATTGTGACCCAACCCTAACCTTCACTTTCATCTGGTAATGCATGCATCTGCTCTGAGAAAACAACCAGAGTATTGTTATTAATGGGATAAACATATAGCTCATGGTTCCATTCAATAAGTGACAAGAAGTTAATTCAGGAAATTAATATTTTCATGTATTATATGTTTTATGGGTCTTAGAGATTCATAAGAAAAAAAAAATGAAAGCAAATTAAAAAGTATTTTAAAACAAGAAGAAAAAAAAAAGAAGTGAAGAAATAAAACCCAACCACTTTAAAACCACCATCTAGAGGTTGATGGAGACAAACATTTTGGAAGGTGTCCAGAATATCTGAATATTCTGGGCTATGGCAGCAGAGTGGCTGGTAATTCAGATTATAAGAAGATCAAATGTTCTCCATGGGCTGTTTATTTTGTTCAGCAATTTGGAAGCATTGGTTTTTATAAATAAGTGTTTTTTAAAACTCTTCTGCAAGACTGCTTCTTGTCTTGCTGTATCTTTAATCATATGTGCTAACACTGTGAGCAATGTGTCCTTTCTTCATGCTGCATCAGAGCCGTGCCAGCACAACACGGCAGAGCATATGTGAAATTCTCTGCAGTAGCTACAATACAACTCACTGTTTCCCTGCATAAAAGCCATTTATCTTGCCTACTTCCAGACAAAAAAAACCCAGATATTTAACTTATCTAATAGTGTTGAACAGGTAGTTTTTATCCAATTTAACATTTTCATGGTCTTCAGGTGGGCAGACAGATTCCAGGCAGCTTTGAGTGATACTTTGGGTGAAACTTCATATGGTCCTGGCTGCAAACTGACTGAAGGCTGAGATGTATTTTCAATGAAAGGGACAAATTAGTTAGGTCTGACAAATTAGTTAGGTCAAAGTTACCTCCAAGCACAAAATATGCATTTGAAATTAACATCTCTCTGCATTGATTAGAAGAGCCACAGAGACTGTGATCTACCAGGCACAACTATGCATATTCCTGTTAAAGTCAACTGGCTTAACTCCAGCTCATCATTTGCAATTTTAGAGAGACATGGATAAATTTAGGCTATATCTTAGACAAATCTGGTTCAAAAATGCACAGAAGAATAGTCAGGAACAGCAGGGGAGGAAAGAGCTTCAAAGGCATTATAATGTATATTAAGAAGACTAAAAGAGCAGGAGACTGATTCACTTTCACTAAGCCTTCAATGCAATGTTGTCAAGTCTATTTGACATAACCCAGTGAAGAGTAAATCTCAAAACTGATTCATAATATAGAGATACAACACATCACCAAAGCATTCTCCTAGGTTAATGGGGAATTTGCCTCAGTGTTCATAACCAGTTTGTGAAGTCCTGGCCTTATGGTACTTTCCTCTTCAAAAACAATTTCTGAATAATTCACTTAAATTTCTTTTTGCTTCCTAAATTCTGAGTGAATCATTTCTATTCAAATTGATCATGAGTGTTCAGTCTGGGAAAAGCATTCTTAGCTTGAGTTTATGGTTTCAGAGTGATGCACAGCTATATGAAGTTGCAGCTGTTAACTTGTGGCATTTAAGTTCTCTAAAGACATTGCATCTTTCCTGTCTTCTGTACTCTAAAATCACAGGCTCAGAGCTCTGGTAAATGTTTGGATTAAAACAGCTAATATTTCTGTGATTTTTTACCAGATTGACCCAGCTGCTATTTAAAATACATAGGACAACAATTTGCAGTATAGCAGATTGTCAGAGATGAATTTTAACTTGTATTTTCAGAAATTAGTACATAGATAAAGGACTGATAATTGAAGAGCAGAGATTCATTTACTGTTAACCAACTGTACAGCATTTTCTTCAGGAAAGTGGAATAGATATAATGGAAATGCATATAACCTATGTAAATGGATTTTTTTCTTTTTTTTCTTTTGCCACAATCTCTAAGAATAAAGAAGACACACCATTTTTAGCAACATGCTTCATTATAATAGTCCAAGATTTTTAAAAGGCAATGTCCACAAGCTAAAAACACAGAACCACCATCTGAACATCAGGAAACACTTTTATATTGTGCAGGTAAACCCCTGGCATGGATTGCCCAGAGAAGTTGCAGTTTTCCCATCATTGGAGATATTCAAAAGTCATTTGCACACTGCCCTGGGCAACTGGTTTTGGGTGTCTCTTCTTGAGCAGTGGGGGTTCCATTTCCCTTCCAATTTCAACTATGCTGTGACCCTGTGAAAAATCTCTCTATACCATTAAATTCTTATTGAGTACTGCCCATTGGTTCAGTGTTTACAGACCACAAAGAAAGTGGAATCCCAGTGTCACAAGCCAGTCCAGCCACTGCTCAAACCCAGGGTATGGAAGCACTACGGTGCACATATTTACTCCCTGGATAGCTGATCCAACTCATGCTGGAAGCCTGCTCAACTTACTGGAACCCTGTGATAGGAGAGCTTATTCATTAATGGCAGTGCTACAGATCACTGCTGCTAGTTTCAGTACAGACTGAGAGGACTACAGAGACCAGGAAGTTCGCAAAGGACCCTTCTTCATGAAGGGGAGTTCAGGAGTTGAATGTTACAGGGAGTGGTATCTTTCTTTAGAAACCAGGTGTGTAGAAGGAGTCTACAATTCCATGGCAGTTTAAGTCAACCCAGCTCATGCCTGCCAGGTCCCAGTCTCTGTCTTCATACCATGTGCCCTTGCCCACTCCTTTGCACTGACTCTCATTATTACCTGCCCCTTCCATGTGGAACTACTTCAGTTCACTAGGCAGGAAGAAGACTAACCTGTTTAAAAACATGAGTAATGCCACTAAATCTCTTCTGGATTAGAGCAAACATCTTTTCAAATCAGGATCTGTCACCAGAAGTGGCCAGTAATTAATGCTTTGTGCAGGACATTAAAACAAAGAAAACACAAACAAAGAAGACATTTCCATGCTTGAGTGGTGGGCAGTTGTTGGATGTCTCCAGAGGGAGAGGATAGTCTTCAGAGGTAACAGCACTGAGTGCCTTACTCTTTTTAGTACTTAGCCAAAAACACCTTGAACCCACTGAAGAGGTGTTCCCAAGCTGTCCTCTAAGCCCTCTTATGTTATCATTTTGCTAGAATAGATGTGCAAAGTGAATCCGAGAAATTTTGAAATAATATTTTTAAAATCTGATAGTAAGCATAAAGATATGGTAACAGAAGTATTATCTTCCTTCCTAACTCACCTCGAAAATGCTGTGAATTGTCTAAGTTTCTTGAAAAAATACTTGCTACATGACTTCATACTTATTGAAGGTCCCTGAGCAAGCTTGGTCCTCAGATTTGCAAAAGACTGTAGAAGCAGAATAAATAATGATAAATTTCACTTTTGAAAGAGCTTGTTTACAGAGGCAAGGATTTAAGGCAAATTCTTAAAAGTGATTTTAATAGTAATCTCAGACATTTTTTGTTATTGTACTCCTTCAATTCTGAAGACACCAACTGTCTACTTAGTAACATTGTTGTTCGTTTTCTATTTCATTTAGAGTCTGCCACATAAAATTTACTTCACAAAGAAAAAAAACAATTTAAAACTCAATAATATAGATCCAGTGAGTCTCAGATTGCATTATAAAGACTTAATTTTGTTACTGAAGGCTCATGCATGCTAGTGAAAGAGGCATGCGCCCAGACTAACCATCACCAGTACCTATAAACTGATATTTCCTTTGTTTGTGAGTTTCTTCGAGGGGATATTTTACGTGTGATATTCCATAAGACTCTTCTACCTAATCTGTTCTTTAAAGATTGACTTACCTTCTGACAACTCTGAGACAGACATAATAAACCATCTTCAGAACCACCAACTATCCCTAACTTCATTTATATTTATAGAGAAAGGTTTTCAGCCCTTTCTGCAATAATGCACTGATGAAAGAGTCAAGCCCTTAGAGAACATCCATGTGTTATCAATCTGGATACCAGCCTTTTTCCCAGGGCTTGAATTGACAAGTGCAAGGAAAGCACAGAAAATACTAGAATGCCATGGTCCATCTGCTGCACCGTGCTTAGCATATGGTAAATAATATTACCTGCTGTTCTGAGATTTTCAGTAAAACTGACAGTAGCATGGCATGACTCTAGTAGCTGATGGTGACTAAATTACTGGACTCTTGAGTTTATGTCAAGTTTACTTTCAGTTCAGCTTTTACTCCATTCAACTTCTTATTTGTTTCAAAGCTTTTTCTCATGGTGCACAATGATCTGCAGCTCTCCCTGAAATGTATGTCTTGTGAGACAGAAAGAGAAATATCAGAACAGGCTGTCATTGACTTTGCCACTGTGACCACAGAGAAGGGCTGTGGTACAAGGAATTTAACTCTGCTGACATCTTTGTGATTCCTACATGATTCCCTAACAATCTCCAAAATAATTTCCCCTCAGCAGCAGTGCTCACTACTTTAGAATGTTAATGCTTTTGTGAAAGTGTCTTGATTATTGATCAGGATATGAAACATCTATGTTTTGAACAGACTGTAGTCCTTTGACACAGTAGGTATACAGTACACATAATATACAGCAAAACATGGATATGACAAGGATACAATGCTACTTCAAGCCATCTGATGTTATGCCTCCGGCTGATTAAATAGACAAAAGGAAACATG